ATCGTCCACTTTGTCCGTCAGGCGAAGTGGATTGAGCGCGACTTCCACATCGCCCGTTGGGCGAAGTGGATCCCACACGACTTCCATTTTGCCAGTTGGGTGAAGTGGATCTTCATAATCGTTCACTTTGCCCGTTGGATGAGGTGGACCACTCCTTGAGCTTCTTCTTCAAATCGCAATCAAAATGCTTTTCGTTTCGTCTCAATCAGAGTTCCCGTTGAGATTTTACGATGAAAACAAGTAAGCTCGACCAATCATGAATTTACCTCGCCCATTCGGTGAATTGGACCACTCCTTGAGCTTCTTCTTTGAATCACGATCGAAATGCTTTTCATTTCGTCTCAATCGGAGTTTCCGTTGAGATTTTACGACGAATATAAGTAAGACTCTCCGAAACCCTTTGACTTGCTCCTACTCGACTTCTTGGGCATCCTACTCGCCCATTAACTTCTTCTTTGTGTTCCCCTTTGAATCTCAATCGAAAAGTCTCTTGTTTCATCTCGATCGGAGTTACCTTTGGAACTTTATAATAAAAACCGCGAAGACTTGTTTTCTCGTATAAGTTATAATATATCGTATAAAACGATATATTCCTAGAACTCTCTGCACTTAGAAACTTTAGGCATTATACTCGACATGTTTTGTTTCTATGACTGGCATTCGATTACCAGATGAATTTTCCCGGGCAGTTCGATCTCTTGGTCCATTCTTTCAATTGAAACTACGCTTGGCTTGATCCTCGAAAGAGGTACGTAGGCAGCATTTCATAAGGTTCAGTCCGAAATCAATCAAAACTTATTTTTATATTGTTTTTTGTCTTTTGTTATCGAGCTGTGACTCGACTAGATTTAAAGTTTTAGGTTAGTATAACTATTTAACTTGCTGACAACTCTTGCGGCCAAAGCTTTCTTAATCTTTTGTAGTGATTGCAACGTTTTTACGAAGATTCGAAATAAGATCTAACTTTCTCTATGAATTCGTTTCTGTATCATTTCTATGTTTTCCGCATTTGTTTGGTTAGTTGTTGTTGGAATTCGTAGAGGATCCATGATCTCAAGGAAAGTTAACGTTTTCCTCACTTTCCTCCGATATTACTTTCCTATCTTTAGGGAAAGCGACAGTGTGGATTCCAGCCCCCACAAATGTGTTATTATTATAAGTTAAAGTACGAAATTGCTAGCTCAAATAAAAATGTTTATATGCATCAAAAACCTCAGGTAGAATTTAGTTATAAAGTATAGTGCAACTCTTATAACTCAACATATAAACAACTAATTTTATTGGTACAACTTTTAATATACCAAATATGTAATACTGGTACAACTGACAGATCTTTGTATTATATATCAGACATGTACTACTTGTTCAACTGGCTCAACTTCTTCTCTGTAGAAATTAGATTTAAATTTTGTTTTCCATATGAAGAAAAACAATCAACTGACCAAATTGTTAGGTGTTTAGAATGGTCTCTCCTAATATAATCTTTGAAAAAGTACTTTTTAAATCCTATTCGATCTATTGCAAATTTGCAATCTTCTGGCTCCGTAGCTGCTTTCTTCAGCTTTCAGAGCAAAAAAAAAAATGAAGATGCATTTTTTTTTCAAAAATAGTTCAACTAATACAACTATTAAAACAAATAATTTTCACACTAAATTTTATAACTAGTACAATTGTTACACAATATTATCAGGAGATGTTAAACACAATATTATTGAGAAAACTAATTACACCATATTACAAGTTTAATCAAACAACGAATAATAGTTGTGACGGCTAAGGTTTAGAGACATTTATTCATAGATTTGGTGGCTAGAGTTTCAGAGCCGAACATTGTCTTTGAAGTCGACATTTCGTGGCCGTGAGATGCCTCTTTGGGTGGTCTTAACAAATCAGGTGATAGACATGCGGTCTCTTTGACGCACAAGCTTGGGTAAAATTTCGTTCAGATTTGTCCACAGGAGTGGGGAGTTCTGGTTCTCCTGGCAGGTGTACAATTAGTATAATTTATAAAATTGTATACCTAGTTCATCGTATATACAATTAGTACAACTGTACAACTAGTATAATTGTATAACTAATACAACTGATATAATTTTACAACTTATACAACTCGTATAACGTGTACAATTTGTACAACTGGTATAACTACACAACTAATATAACTGGTACAACTGATAAAAATTAATATTAAATATTTAAAATTAAATGAATATGGACCGGATTTTGGGTATTTGGGTTTGTGTCCGAATTTTGTTAGCTGGGTTGGTAAATAAGTTAAATTTTTAAAGTTTTATGGACATTTATCATATTAAATTTAAATCTAAAAGAAATTTTTCCAATCAAAAAGGGGTTCAAAATAGATTTTTTCACACCCAAGTGATCCATTATAGAATTTATTCAGAAAAACCTGGGGAAGGATAAGCAAGAGACAGTGATGTTCAATCATCAAAGCGGGAGACGACTACGGACATAATCTAGTAAACCTTAAACGCTAAGTTTTGATTTCTTTGGGCTTTGAACCACACCATCGCTAATAAGTAGGTTTTGACAATGGGCTTGGAGATAAGATTGGGTTTTGTATATGGACCTGTAGAAAATTTTAAGAAATCAAGACACAAAACAAAAATTCGGATTAAAAAATGACATCGACAGAATAAATATTTATTATCTAAGTGGGTCCCACAAAAGTTACCAACGTGGTGGCCTTTGGAGAGAGTAAAAACTCTCCTATTATATATATATATATATATATATATATTTGTTTTTTTTTGTCAAGCTCCCCTATTATATATAAGATTATGATTCTTATTATCCAATCGACAATTTTTAAAAAATATTTAGAAAAGTATGTATAAGATGCAAATGTTTTTCAAATGTTATTTACTCATTGTTCTCATACAATAGTTTTGGCAGAGTATTTTCAAATAAAATATATTAAAATTCAAAAATATTTATATATAACTAATATTTATTTATTAATATCAAAATTTATATTTTTATCCATAAATTTAAATTATATTTCTAAATATAATTTTTTAATTAAAATAAAAAATAACATTTCACATTTAGAAATATAATTTAACTTATATAGTTAAATATGTTTCATTATTTTTAATACCAAATATATATATATATATATATATATATATATATATTATAAATATACATATTTCAGAAATAAATAATTAAATTAGCTACCAGATTTTAATGTTTATGAAAATTTTATATATAATTATTTACCATTCTACCAGTTATATTATTAAATACATAAATGAAAATATAATTTCTCCAGCATAGTGCTTCAATAGCATACTACTATTGTTTTATCATCAGTTCTACCACTTGTTCGAAAACGTGGGCGCGCGTTGCCAGAAAGTCGGCCGGAAAATCGCTGATCGGTGACTCTCTGTGGCGAACAGAACCTGATCGGCGTGACTAGGCGGTGAAGCGATTTTATCTCGGATTAGCCGCATAATTGAGGAAATCGGCGCTTAAATGTCAAAGGCGATTTGGATCTGTTCTTACATTTCTTTAAAAATCAAGAAACCCCATTTTTTCCCAGAAACCTCTTAATAATGATAGTTGGGTGTTTGTGCTAAGAACTTTCTACAAAAATCAGTCGTAAAAACATGAAGACACTAACCACTAGATGAGGCTGAAATAGTTAGTCATTAATGCAAACTAGGGGCGTAATCCCCGCACAAGCGCAGGGACCGTGACTTATGTATAAATATTTGAAGATGATGTTGTGTTTTGATATGGTCTTTGATTTATGAGTATTTGTATTTTTATAGATTTGAGCTCGGGTATTGACGTCTATTTTGTGGTGTTTTTCGGATTTATTATTTGAAATTAATGTTCACTATCTCAAATTCTGTAGTTTTTTTTTTGTTAATTTCAATTAATACTTATTTTTGTGTTAAAACAAACATTTGAAATTATACAATATCATACCGTAAAAGATAAAAGAATGAAGTAAGATTATGATCACTGATGATTTATTTATTTATCTATCTAAAAGAGCTAGAAAATTATTGGTAAACCGAGTATTAGGATTTTCCTATTACAAAAAGTCTGTTAAAAAATATAATAAAAAATGTAAGAGCTTTATTAAAAAAAAAAAAAGAAGAAGCAAAATTACTAATTTTTCACTCATTTTGGCAGCCAACCAATTTTGTCACTTTCACTACGTTAAGCATTCTTCGTGCAGGTCTCCAAGACTCCAACGTTTCCATGCCACAACATGTTGATTTCCTCGATCCAAACAAAAACTGTAAGCAAAAAGATAAAGAGTTTGGCTTACTTTTCCGACAAGAAACTATTTCACCATGTATAAGAGTAAGTCATATATCATCATCATGAGAAGAGGACAAACATTGTTTTAGGGGAAGAGAAAACTAACTGATTCGTGGTTGGTGATGATGGGTCATAGTCATAACTCTCACCAGCTTGCACGAATCTTCCTTTCACTCTTTTTATCGTGTCAGCTCTCACTTTGCGAGATGCATATCAAATCTGTTTCCAACAACTACAACTCAAACAATTAATCTTTAATCAAAATTTTCTAAAAATTTTGTTTTCTAACGCTTTCCAATGAGTTGGACGATTCGCCATGGGAATCTAATATTGAAGTTGGTTCTCCATTGCACCATCATTGGCATCATGATTCTTAATCTCTAGGAGCTAAAAACATTATTTTTTCTTTCCCAATGTTTCTTCAACTATCAGAATCTTAATGTATTGCATTTTACCAGCTTATCTTCACTACCGGAAAGCTTGAAAAAGTCGTGCCGAGCGTTTGCTATCTTCTTATGCAATGTTGATGTTCGCAAATGCCCTATCCCTTGGAACTCCTCATCCTCTAACTTCTGAACAGCCTGAAAACTCACAGTTTCATTCATTACCTTATTTTAACTTCAATATGGTAGAAAGAAAAGAATTAATAGCAGTGAAGATGCAAATCGTTGTAATAGTGGCAGTCACTAAGACGATTTGAAATCCTAGTCATTTGTTTTCAAAGCACAATGTTTCAGTGGAGCAAGGAACTTGCGAATGTCAGGACCAAAACCACGATCAAACATAGTGTCTGCCTCATATAGCACCTGTGTGAAAAAAAAAAAGATTCTTACTGCCCTTTATTTTCTTAATTGCAAATCCCAAAATAAAAAGAACCATAGAACATAATGTTAAGATCACAAAACAAAATGGAGCATACCAAATAAGCGATATCTCCATAGACCATGTTTCCTTCTTCGCTATGCTGAAGAATCCTACCACGAGTTCCAACAACCATGCCTATTGAATTATTCAAAGAATCCTCCTGTGCTCTTATTCGAGAACCACCCCTAACCAATATAGATCCTAACCTTGCGTGCTGGCTGACAGACTTGGCAACATGCTAAACTTAATGCAGAATCCTTGATTAGTTTTTTTTCACAATTGATGCCTGCCTAATAACAGATTCAACTCTCTCTTCTCTTTTAACGAATCATTAGAGATCCAAGACATCAACAATACTCTAATCACATAGCGTATTATACCATTGGGCATCCAAGACTTTCTGGATAATAAACAATCCAAAGTATCTCTCTTTTCCAGCAAAATCCAAAAACAAAAGCCACAAAAAAGCCACTAGAAGTACCGGCTTAGATAGTTCATAGGTGGGACAAAGAACAACAGTCCTAGGATATTTTACCCAGAGATGCCTCATCTTCTCTCATCAGCTGCAACAAATCAAATCAAATACAACTTAAATCAACATGTTGTCAAGAACACCAATCAAATCAAATTAAATGTTTGCTGATACCAGATGACATATATTAAGGCTTTTAGTCTCATTATCCATTAGCTATCGAAGCATATAAAATTGAATAAAAATCACACTAACAACAAAGGGACGATGAAAACGTCACCTCTGTATCTGTTGGTTTCTTCCGGAAGTTTCCCTGATAGCTCAAACGATGGTTCTTCCTGCACAATACAACAAAGTTAGAACTGAAGCACGAATAGATTGATGAGCCAAGAGAGCATACAACTGCATTGGAAATTTAAATTAGTAGATGCTTCATATGACAACACCTTTTTCTTCGCTGCCAAAGATTTTTCAGCAGCTTTCATTCTAGCAATCAAATCATCTTCACCATTTCTGTTAAAGAAAACCCCCTAACATGGTTAGACAAATTCTGAAAATTTTAAAGGTCAGATCTCTTAAAAAAAAAAACTTACGGGTCATCGCCCGTCCCTCTTGCATTAGATCCCTGAAAAGATAAAATGAAATCAAAATAATTCAAGAACTGACTAAGACTTGTGAGTATTCACCAAAAATAGTGAAGGGTTTTGGTCATAGATAGCATGACACAAAGGTTAAAAAAGATAAAACTACACAAGAAAATATACCAGAAAAATAATTTAAACTTCTAAATCAACCCGTATATATAATGACCTTTCATAAGTAAAATAATAAAGAAACATAGAAACAAAGTGTCACTGGATATGCTGAAGGGCACAAAAGAAGCTATCTTAACACACATTTAGCAAAAAATGGCTGATCAAAATTTAACAAATCACAAACAGTTCAAAGTTCCCAACTTTAAGAACACAATAACACCAAAAATCATCACAATCTCAGAAAGAAAGAAAAAATTTAAAATCGCAAACTGATAAACCATTTCAACGTTGATAATCTATATTTAACAAGATCCTTAGTTCTCAGAGATCTCAAGCTCACCCTCCTCAATCTCCTGCAAAAGATCCTTAGGATCCTTCCCATCAACAGTACACGAAACAGAAACACACGTCCACAAAATCTCCCTCACAGTCCCACTCAACTCCTTTGCAATCGACCTCGGCCACTTGGCCAAATGTTCTTTAATTGTTAATAGCCAACGCGGCTAAGTTTTTTTGTTAAAAAAGCGTACGGGAACCATTAAAAAAATACTGACGTGACGCCTCAAGAGAGAGCAAACTGCCCCCATTATTATATAGATTTACACTATATATTGGTGATTATTGTAATTTTCGAAGAGAAAAAATGATGTCAGCAATGATGTATCTTTAATAAAATATGTATTAAACAAATTTTGTATTATATGTATAAAATTTGACATCATATGTACAAAAGTATAAAAATTCCTCCCCACATATTCTCCGTTTGTTTCCCACTTTTTTAATAGGGTAAAATTCTCAGATACTCTTAATCATGCAAAAAGTATTCTGTCGTATTCTTAAGAATTCTCACATAATATCTACTCTTAATGAAATAAGAGATTTACAATTTTACACTTATTATTTCCCTCCTCAATTTAAAATTTGAATTTCAAATTTTAGGTATCAAATTTAAAATTTGAATTTAAAATTTTCGTAAAACTAGAAACCAAGTTGAACTAAGTTACACCATTATCGAAATACAACTGGATATAATTATGTCTTACTTTTACCAAGTTATACCTTGATGATGGTATAACTTAGTATAACTAGGTTAGTTTTACGAAGTTGTACCTTTGTCGAAATACAATTTGAGATAATTATGTCTTAGTTTTACTAAGTTGTATCTCGATGATGGTATAACTTAGTATAACTAGTGTCTAGTTTTACCAAGTTGTACATTTGTCAAGGTACAACTTAGTAAAACTATAGAACATAGTTACACCAAGTTATACAGTTTTATCAAGTTACACGAAATTGAAACTTAAAATCCAGAAAAACAGTTGTACGAAGTTGTACTAACAATTGAGTAGAACTTGGTAAAACTGTTTTTCTGGGTTTGTAGTTTTACTTTCGTGTTCTAGATTAAAAACAGAAAATACAGAAAAATAGATGGAAGAGAAGACAGTTCTATGAAAAACGAAGACGAATCTAGTAAAAACGGAGATAGATCTAACAAGGAAGAAGACACAAAGAAAGAGAAAAACAGAGGAAACGAAAGAGAAGGAGGAGGAGGCGGGGGTGGAGGCGGAGGAGGAAGATTAAGCAGAGAACAAGGAGGAGGACTATGAGGCGGAGGAGGAAGAGAAGAAGAACAAGAAGAATGAGAGAAAAATAGAAGAGAGAAAGTGTTTTGAAAAAGACAAGAATGAAAGAAAGCGTTAAATCTGTAAAGATAAGAAGAAAATTAGGTTTAGTAGCGTAATCATGAATAAGTAAATTTATTAAAGGTTTATTGGGTTTTCAATCAGTTTTCGAATTAAAAATAAATGAAAAAGAAAACTAGAAAAAAAGAGGAGTATATGAGAATTTTTTTTTTCACCCGGAAGTATCTGAGTAATTGATTCTTTTCAATAAATCGGTAGGCCTGTGTATGCCGTATGCGTAGCGCCTAGCAAGTTTCCAAACAAGGGTTCTACCAATCAAAATGTTACTATATCAATTGATATCACTTAGCGGTTTACTACTTTGATGATATAATACCAGACAACCTCAATCTGTATTAGAAACTCAAATGTATAAAAGGTTTTGTTTATCATTCATAGATGAGCTAAATGTAGGGCATGGCATAAAATTATTATTTGAAGTTCAATTCCGAACCCATCCAAAATACTCATAATCCAACCTTGATATGTAACAAATATTATAATGAACTAGTTGTGCAGTAGTTAAAATATTAAGGATTATCTAAACGTGAATTCGAAATGTATACAAAAAATTAGATTTTGACTCGCGCTTTTCAAGCGCGGAAATTTTTTATAATTAAAAATTTATATTATTGGATTTTGTCTTAATTTAAAGAATATTTTGGTATAAAATCAGTTCACCAAAATTTGTGGTGATGACTGTTTTCATTAGTTTTTTTGTTTCAGTTTTTTTATTTTTAGATTTTGTTTTATATTTTTGTTTTTATTTTTAGTTTTTAAGTTTATATTTTTGATTTTCAGATTTTGGTTTGACTTTTTAATTTTTAGACCCGCTTAGTTAGTTTGAACTGATATTACCAACAAACAAATCCCAAATAATCGAACATCTAGTTTACAACTGAAAAGATGACAATTTAAAAAAAATATATTTGCAACAGTTTATTTTGTAAATAAACAAAAGCAAAAAATATAACCTGCATTTTCAGATTTTGGTTTTAGATTTTAGTTTTTAGATTTGGTTTTTGGTTCTGATTTATATTTTTTTTAAATCAGTAAATTATTTAAGAAAAAAAAGAAATTATTTAAAAGTTACCATTGAAATTTATAAAAAAATACATTAACATGTTTTAAAGTACAAGATTTAAATAAATGATTAATAATAGACAATTTTTTTGTTAAAAATATTAAATACCGTTTTTGGGCCTGAAAATAATAATTGATTTCTTTTATTCATTAAGGTGGAAATTTTCTTCAATGTTTTTTGGAGTTTTTCCTTAATACTAAGCCCAAAAACCAAACCATATAATTTGTTATAAAAATAAAAGTAAGCCCAAGACTATATTCCATAAATAACCGCCGGTTTAATTTAAATAATGTGGTTTAATTAACTATATAGTTTGTATTATTTGTAACACTCTAGAAATGATCCAAATTTAAAATGACAACTTGTATTAGTATATAAAAAGATTATATTTTAATAGAGTAGTTACACAAGAATCAGACTTTAAATTTTTATGAATCGAACTAAAATAAATATTCGAATATTTTAATAAATATAAGAACTGGATATTCAAAACCTAAATAGACAACTAACATACACGTTTATTTATTTTTGTTTTGATCCTAAAGTGTTAATTTTCTTTTTACTTTTGAGTTTTGGTGAGGATCAAATCGTCCCTGAAACTTCAACCTCCAAAGTCCCTAGGGTTGGAGGGCGCGTAACGAAAAGTTCTTTCACAACAAGGATATCTCTCCGCTAGTCCGCTTGATACACTGCAACTCGCCTCAAGTGAGGCTGTTCTTGGATGCTCATGCAATTTGGAGGAACAAATACCATCCAGTGCAGAGGAGCACATCAGACCTTTTTGCAAATTTGATGCCTCATTGCAAATTTACTTTGGAGGAGGTTACACTCATAGACGAAGGCAGAAGAGAAAATTTTGGTCATTACCTATCTAGGCGGAATTCCATACCCTCTTGTCGGCTATGAAATCCACCACCCTTCTCAGTCACCAAAACATGTCTTTTGTGTTCGACTGTCTGCAAATTGAGAATCTCCTCAACGAAAAAGAAGAAAAAGAAGAACGGTCAGAATTAATGGCTGAATTGGATTTATTCCCCATGTTTTAAACTCTCAAACAGATCTTTCTTGCGAAAGAAGTCCAATCTTGTAATATTATATTTTCCCATGTACACTTTTAGATTTCAAGTGGGTTGATCCTTGAAACTAAATCTTTGTAATTGAGTTATATGGAGCTTTTATTGTAAAAAGTCATTTGCAAAAGTAACATACCCAGACTTCAATAGACTTAATGTAAAGGTTGAGAAGACTTATCTGGAAGTCTTCCGTAGAAAGTCAAACTTCTGACACAAATTGGTCAAATGCAAAACTAACATTTTTATCCGAGAAGACTTTTAGGTAAATCTTCTTAGGTATTTTCGAGAATTTTTGTATTACAAAAGTAAGCCAATATTTACAAAGGAAGACTTCCAGAGAAGTCTCTTATAGAGGAGACTTCTCTGAAAGTTTTCCTTTGCAAATTTTCAATTGCAAAAATGACCTAAATGAAAGACTTACTTGGAAATCTTCTCCCGGAAGACTTACATGGAAGTCTTCTCCCGGAAGACTTACATGGAAGTCTTCTTTCGGGATAACTTCCAAGTAAGTCTTCTACGATAATGTATAATAAACTTTCATTTTATTCAAATTTAAAATAAATTCTTAAGATTTTATTGTTAATTCATGTGTTTTAGACAATATATGGGGTTCTGAATGAAATTCATAGCCTAATTGGTGATAATTATGAGGTTTTTAATGTTTCTAGCTAATGGTAGAGGGAAGTCTTCTATCGGGTTAGGTTTAATTTTTTGATCTTGATGTTCTATCTTTGCTAATATTCTCTAATTTTATTTTTGCAGAAGATGCGTAAGTTAATTGTGGTCTACGGAGAATTGTTGGTGAAAGATGAGTGTTGGGATTTTGTGGTTGATAATGTTAAGGGTGCTAGAATTGCCTTTCTAAGTGAAGGTTCTACTCATGACGAGCTTCTCAAAATGGCTCAAAGGATTATAACATGTACAAGAACACATAGGTTGTGAAGTTAACCTACTCATTACCAGAGACTCCTGTTATTCATGTTACTAATGATCGACAATTTCGGAACTTGTTCGAGATTACAAAAACGAATGTTGTACATCTCTGTGTATCAAACCGAGGCACTGATGGAAACAAAGAATGTGAAGATGGTAATGAAGTTTCAAATGAAGGGGAAGAAGATGAGGAAGGTGAAGAAGATGAGGAAGGTGCAGAAGATGATGATAATTTTCTTCAAGATGAAAATGATGATGGGGAGGAGGATGCTGATTTCTCTGATATTGCTGATCTTGTTGATGATGGTGAAGATTACACTGAGTATGGAAAAGTTAAAGATGAGGATGAGGAAGAAGAAGATTGAAATGTGTTTTGGGTATGGTAGTGAAGGAGGAAGTTTGAATTCTGAAAATATCTATGTCAACCAGAGTTTTATTAGTAAGGACGCACTGGTTTCAGAGCTGCGGTTAACAACGGTGAAGCGTAAATTCTCCTTCAAAATATACAAGTCAACAAAAACTCTAATTGTGGAAAAATGTCGTGTTGGTGGGTGCGGATGGATTGTTAGAGCTAGTGTGAAACATGGTACAAACACGTTTTGGGTGACCAAGAATCTTAAAACTCATACATGTTATGTGGGAGATACGCTGGCTTGTCAAAAACATTGTACTCTGAAGTATGTTGGTAGGCTTTTCATAGATCGCGTTGGAATCATTGATGGGTTAAATCCGCAGCATATCAGAGATGCAATGAAAAACATGTTTGGCATGAAGCTAGTTTACACCATTGCATGCATAGCATTAGTATATGCGCA